AGGGGCAGGCCCAGCGCACCCACACGGCACTGGAAATTAGGTATATTTGAACCCTTTCTAAGGGGTCCAAGGAGGGGTGTCCCACCTAAATGGTAGTTTTTACACTATAGGGTCAGGAATACAGGTTTGTGTTCCTGACCCTATAGTGTTCCTTTGAAATAACTGTAAATGTTAGGGTTTATTTTCTCTATTTTTTTTTAGGTTACTCTTCCCCCTTTTTGGAAAGTTGCTAAATTATCTCTGATCCAATCAGATGCATTCAAGACCTCAAGCATATGTGCAACAATTTCTCACTCTACCAATTCAATGCTCCAAAATGAGAAGCAGTAGCTGCAATCAAAGTCATCATGTTGTACGGGTTTTTGAAGGTTTTCACATTCAGCATTACGTACGTCTTGAGGAAGGGCTTGTAGTGGCTTCTCTGCAAAGTTTACATTTAACAAAAAAAAAAAATGCATGACAGTTTCCCCAGAGATGGAAAGGTTTTAGAAAGTCCAAGAAAAAGGATAGCATTTATGCACCAGAACCATTACAATACAATATAGCGGTGTTGGTAAGAACAGAGTCTGTATAAGGAAATCTATAGGAAAAGCAAGAGTATTTTTAAACATCATTTAAGTAACTGTTTTTTCTAACTAGCTTGTAATTTAAAAAAAAAACAAAAAAAAAAAAAACAGAACATTTCCTAGCCTTAAAGGGATACTGTGGTGCCAGGAATACAAAGCTCTATTCCTGGCACTACCGATTCCTCTGCCTCCCAGGTAAATAAAGGGTTAAAAGCCCTTTACTTACTTACCTTATCCCAGTGCCGATTTCCCTCGGCACTGTGTCCAAACTCCGCCCCCTGAAGAGTGTGATTTAAATTTTGCATGCGCGGCAAAATGTTGCGCACGCATTAGACCTCCCCATAAGAAAGCATTGAATCAATGTTTTCTTATGGGAAAAAATCTGACGGTGGAGGGTCTCATGCAGAGCTTGAGGACATCCAGCATCAGATAACGGACCAAAAGTCTGTTCCGATTCCGGAAGCGCCCACAGTGGCTGTCTGGTAGACAGCCCCTGAGGGCAGTCTTAGTGCTGCAATGTAAACTTTGCAGTTCTCTGGAACTGCAATCTTTTACATTGCAGCACTAGGTTCAAAAGGGACAGCACCCAGACCAGCTGAAGTGGTCTGGGTGACTACAGTGCCCCTTTAACACAAAAAAATAAAGCTGCAGAAGGTGTTTGGTGATGGCAAAATTAAAATCAGCTCAGTGTGCTTCCCCTTTAAAGGCTGCAGGTGGCACGTTTATACACAATATTACATATTATTTTGGTTGGCAACTTGTAATAGACAAAAAAAAATAAAAATAAAAATCGATAAGTATTTATTTGCAGATAGGTGATTTCAAAGAATTGACATAGTACAGAGCCTCAAGTATATAGTGGGTTCAAGTGAATTCAGGAGCAGGTAGTCCCAGGTCTTTGTTGATACAGATTCCAAACAACCACACTTGAGCGGACCCTGAGTAACACGACGGGTTACCTCCGCTAACCCCTTCCTTCAGCCACTCAGGAACCACTTGGAATAATAAGAGACCCATCCCCCCCCATTAACTGGACGAGACACAGCTGTTATTGAGCCACACACATGCATATCCCCATGCAAAGGGGTCTTTAAAACACACAAACAGGGGTTGTATCCCAGTATCCTCTCTACCTGGGGAACCAAGCGCGGGAACGGGGGGATGCTGTTCCTTTGCCTCACAAATATGGAAAGCACGCCACTAAAGCGAGGGGTCTCTTGCCCAGGACGACAGGTGGGTCTTCATCCCATGAGCCTCTGTGCGTGGGAGCCAAGGCGCGGGAAAAGAGAATGTCCCTTTGTCTCCCAGGCACAGAAAAGCACGACAAAGTAGCCAGTGCCCCAAAAGAGTCCCCATCAATCCCAGGCAACCTCACCATGGCACCTTCTCCGCTCAATCTCTGTATGCGAAGTTCCGGTGCTGAAACCTGTAAGAGAAGCGTCTACTTTTGGGGGTATGAATGCTCCGCCTGGTTGGCGTTCGTCTATACGAAATGGCGGCCATCCAGTGGAGCACTCATTAATTCCCTTGCTGTTTCACACTTATGTTGCCAGTGCGAACATTGCAGTTTCACATTTATGTTGAGATTGCGAAGGTTCTAACGGGGCACTGTGGTGGTCCCCATTCTGGAGACGAATGGATTCCGTTTATACGGACACTCCCGAATGGTAAAAGAGTATAGGACACAAATTATACTGGGAAACACATAAAACCAGGGGAAAAACAAACAAAAACAAAAACAAACACACACACACACACCTCCCCCAGTGTCTCTGAATTCTGACAATCAAAATTACCCATTTGTGGTGAAACATTTCATAACCGTATAGAATTTTGCATATATTTATAGCAGATTTTCTTCTTTTTAAAAATAATAAAAATAAATCCACTACATAGTACTTTAGGGTAAGATACCTTCACCATAACACCACACTCCCAAGCAAGCTCAATTCAGAACTCTTTCATTTCTGGTAACGTCCCATCTCTCCCTTCTACTACAATGCAACAAAGAAAATTGAGACTGCTTTCGCTGTCAACTTTTGTCAAATCTCACAGGCACTATTAGTGATGGCTGTGGGAAACAAACATATTTTGCATTGCATTAGTTGTCTAGGGAGGAATACGTAACACCAAGAACATAAAGGAGCCCAACAAAGAAATTAGAACCTCTCTTAGGGAGTGTATTGTTCTACTCCAACAACAAGAATGCACATCAACTGATAGATGACGGCTCAAATTCATTGCTCCTGTCCAAAATACAGTCCGACTCTTACCGGTCCACTGGTTCCAGCATTCCTGGAGTGAGATGGTCACACTGGGGGGTGGCATCCAATGGAAATATTTTTGATGATGGTGTTAGGTTGGCATCTGCCAGTTCAAAGGAATCATCGCTCGATATATTCATGGATGGAAGCTGTGAACATAAGAGGTTTGGTGGTTTGTTAGTCATATATAAAAAGGTGTCAAAGCACATTTATAGGTGCAAGGAAGGAGAACAGTCAATTGGCAGGTAAGCGATTTACCTTTACTCGCTTGTTTCTGAATGGCGTAGAACTAAAAATGTCATCATGATCATCCTTTGGAATCTGTTCCAAAAATTCTCTCATCTGTTTTTTTCTCTTCAATGTTCCCACTTTTGCAGTTATCTTTATGGCCTTCCCTTCTAAACCAACTACATTGACAGAGAAAGGAAAAAATACATTTAGGATTACAAGTAAACCATCTGTGTGGTCAAGGCCTCCAAGGGTAATAACCTGTGGAATACGGATTCTCTGAACTGGAGAAGCAGGACAATACCAGAATTCTTTGTGTCCACGCCCTACTTCATGCTTCTACCACAAAAAACAGCAAGAAATGTCAGGAAAGGATAAGATAATAAAAACAAGCACTCTCAGAAATAACAGGAAAGCGTTTTGTGAACCATGACCACATAGAAAATTACTTTACTGATAAGAATACATTTTGCGCTCAGGTTCACAAAAGGAGTAACAAAATGAGATAAGGTAAACCCAAGCCACATGAAAACATGTCGATTGCAGAAATAGAGACCAACACCCATGTAACGTTTCTGTAAACTCCATGACGGATGAATCAAGGTAAAAAATTTATTAAACATGCGCTTTATCTGTTCCATAGATGCTTTGTGTTTGAACGACAAGGACGTAATCACCACAGTAGTAGAATGGGCAGTGACCCTCTCACGCACTTTTTTTTTGCCAAGGAATAGGCCAGCTGCATTAAAGACGTAAAGAAATATGCATAACTTAACATTTATTTTTTTTAAAGCAGCAAATACTATTAAACAATTATAAAAAAAAAATAAAAAAATAAAGCCTTTGAAAAGTATGTAACAAACGTTTATAAACTTACTATAAATTTGTTCTGATTGCGTAGTTGGACACACCTCTCAGCTAGAGGAGTTTCTTCAGCCACCCCCATCCCTCTAAACTGGCACTAATCCACCCATCTCTGACCAGAAAAATGGGCAAAAAGGAAATTGAGTTTATGGATATGTTTGGTAGCCTCCATGCAATACTTACGTACACAGACTACATCCCAAAAAAAAATAAAAAATATATATATATATATATATATAATGTGTGTGTGATCTTGATAAAGATCCCAGGAGGGTCGAAACGTTGATTTTCTTTGCGCAGACCATGACTTTGTAAGTATCTATTAAAAAAGTTTTTTTCACTTAACTAATGAAGTCCTAGTGTGCTCCCTTCATCCATTTGTGATATATATATATATATATATATATATACACACACACACACACACACACACACACACACACACACACATACATATACATATACACACACACACACACACACACAAATATTTTTTTAAATGCGCAGGCCTGGTCTTTGTCGGGGATATAAAGCATGTTAAAGACCAATTGACCTAAAGAAAGAACTATCAAGTTAAGACTTTATTGGGATATACTATTGTTATCCTATTGTATTTATCCTGTGTGGCGCAGCCTCTCTCTTGTATTTTCGCTTCTGTTTTTTAGGGGAATTTGAGGGATTCCCTTTGTGGTTGCTGCCTACCCATTACTTAGCGCTAACTCTCTATCTTGTTTTTACCTCTGGTCTTCTCAATGACTGGTTTCAGACAAAAGAAGGGAACCACTGTCCC